AGCAAATTAATACGGGCGAGCAAGAGGGTCCAGCTAACGAACGAACCGACGCCAAGTCTAGTACCGACCAGCGCCGCGACGCCTTGCAATCCTCTCTCTCCCTGTGTCTCACCCCGTCGTCGTCGTCATCGTCGTCTCGTGGCGCACAACAGGAATCTTCGATTCGTTGTTTCGCTACGTGCCGCTGCTGATTACCATCGGATCATCGTCACACGGTGATGTCGTCACGATGCGATCGTTTTGCCCCTGGAATGCTGGAACATGGAAGTAGGATGGGACGCGTGAACACCGTAGTGAGAGCGTACAGTGTGCACGGGCCATAATAGATCAATCGTTTAGGCGGGGGAAGAGTTTCACGGGGACACGGTGAAGTGTGAACGTAGCTTTAAGCTTGACACGGAACGGTGATACCGTGACAGTGACGGATGCCGATGGGTTTTGGCGTTTCTTGGTTTTTCGTTGGTTTCGCTACCAGTTAGATTGGGTGTGCAAGAGGAGGCTGACTCGGCTTTTTGCAAACGAGCTTCTGGCTCGTGGAGATGGCGTTTTGTGAATCTTCGGCGTTTGGGTGGAAACGGTCGTTTCTTTGTTGCCGTGACACGTTCCTTCAATGAATCGTTGTCTTTTGTCAGCGAGTTTTGCGAATCGTTATTTAATCGTAAGAATTATCGTTTACGTTTGATACGGTTACAAGTATGGTCGAGAATTATCAGTTGCTGGTTGTGTGTATTTTAACGTTCGACAAACATACGTGACTGGCACGTGCTGTCAATATAAGAAAACCAAATGATTCTTACGCCTTTTAGTACGAAAAATACTAGACTGTTCTAGTATTTTAAGAAATATTAATAGCTTTGTGGAATTTCTAAGATATTCTTGAAAGGCATACATTTTAAAAATATTTCGAAGCAAAAGATATCGTCATAAATTATCAACGCGCTTTTTAATTTACTTTAATATTCGGAGACGTAACGAGTGACCTTTCTTCATCTTGAAAAATTCGTGAAACGCGTGCAGAATGGCAAAGAACGCGTGCGGCTGGTTCGGGCCAGCAAGGCGACCGATTAACTCGCTGTTAATTAGTCGATCCCTTGCTTCGATAGCGTGATTAACACCCGTCTGCCCTTTCCAGTGGCTTAGCCCCGCCCCGTACAATGTATTTCCTTCTTCGAGCACCGCCATTTTGCCAGTTTACACCTCCCAAGATCGTAATCGAAGCTAATTTCCGCGTGGTCACACGAAAATTCTCATTGCGTCCAACAAAGGAGAGAGAGGAAGAGGAACAAAGAACAACGATGATCGTACGATTATTCTTTCAATGTTATCCGTTCGTCGCAACATTGTTATTCTTTCATTGGTATTCGCTCGTCGCAACATTGTTATCTTTTTTTTAATTTGCATATCCGTGCGCGACTTACTTTTCCCATCTGATACTTGCTGATGCGTTCTAACTAGCCCTAATAATATAAGGGTCCTAGTTACATTTATTTATTTCAAGTTATGTAAACTTATGTCTTTCTCTTTCAAGGAAAAGATTTTTCTCCTTTCTCTGTTAGCAAATCTCTCGTTGTGTATTTTTCTATTTCCATTCGACCTTTTCCCTGTGTAAAAATATAAAACTCTGAACTTTCTCCGCATTCCTGTAATTATAATTCATCAATAGTCTAATAGGTATGGACATGGTTAAGTTTACACGTGATCTGCTTAATGCAATATCTATAAAAAAGCTGCATTTTTAGAGAAACTTTGTCCAAATGAGATATTAATTCGGTATTACAGAAATATTGATGACACGACTCGATATTTAGAGACCTAGCAGTATAGCTCTATAATTCATAAAAATGTTCACTGAAGACCTACTTTTTCCAATCTTCTATTAATCAAGAAATTTTTTAATCGATCACGTATAAAACTCTCTGCCCCTTTGCTTCCTATTTCACCTTTCAACCCACATTTCTTTCACTTTCTCAAACAAATATCTTCCCTTCTCGATCTCCTCTCACCACTTTGTATCTCCAAACTCCTCTGCATCATCTTCCAATATCGATCTTCATCGAACCACGTCGATTAAACCGATCCACGTTCTACCACACCATCTCGACCCACCTTGAACCATCACGAACTCACTAGAAAGCATATGACCTGAGCCATGGCGAAGGAAACTGGCGATTTTCCGTGGCAGCGGACGAAATCACGAAACGCCCGGAGAAACGCGTATTCTTTCAGACGTTCAAACGTCTCGGACCAGCACTTTGTTCCTCTCGAGCTGACAGAATCGAAGAAGAAGCGAGCGGAGCGAGGCGGCCTCTCAGGAGAAAGCCAGTCGGCCCTACAGTCTCATTTTAATTAAACGAAATTCCGCGTGCAACAAAGGGCGGCAAGCCAGCCGGATAATTCGAAAGGGCAGATACGTGCTTCCTGGTTGGTCGGGTTTATAGAGGCGAGTGGCAGCAGTGGCTGCTGCGATGGTGGTGGCGTCTGCGAAGGAGGAGGGTGACGGAGGATGGAACCGGTTCTAGCTTTTCCCCGGGGTAACTAGGTGGTGAAGAGGGACGCAGACAGTGGCGAGGAGGGAACGAGATGGACAGAGACGACGGGAACCTGGCGAAAGAGGGCGAAAAAGGGAGAGGCAGAAAGAAAAGGAGGAAAGAGAGCGCGAGGGAGGATGGAGCGAGAAAGAGGGATGAGAGTGGGATCGATAAAGGGAGTGTCGGCATGAGAATGGGGCAGAAGGAACACAAGGGTGGCCCTTACCCTAAACGAGCACCTTAAGCGGCTAAACGTGACGTAAGAAATTCGCCGGTGACTAGCAAACAATTGATCAACCTGAAACTTTAGTCGTCGAAGTCTGCGTTTAATTGGTCGCATTTCTCCGGTTCCACGGCCTGTTTTGGCTTAGGTGATTAGGTTGTAGGATTCGTTGAGAGATTTGCGGAGATGCGTACGGCGTTTATTCGTAATTGGCATGCGAAGAAGTGCGAGATTGGGGCGGCTTGAGTTTAGGCAACTTTGTTTCCTCGCGGATGAAGAAGTTTTTGGTAGAAGTTTCGGACTCTTTATTAGGAAATCATCTATTTTAAAATTGGAATTTCATTGTATTTGTCGAAATAGTTGGAACGATGTTAGGAAGTGAAAATTACGCAGGATTTTCTATCTTGATATTAGAAGGTTAAGTTTAGAGTTAAGTATCTGTCGTCGCTGGATAAGTATTTGTTTATTTCTGTCGCTCATGAAGTCGAATTATAAATGCGAACTTTTAATTCATATCGTAATAAGCTGCGATAAAATTCATTTCTTGGATGCCTTCCCACGCGTCATCAACCAATAATAAAATGTTGCAAATTCTCATTACATAGCGACGTATTTTACTACAAATTTGATAGCATTGAAATTACTTAGAATAATACAATTTAAAGTTATTAATTACATAACTCATTGTTCTACCAAACAAACTTCTCTTTCTTTTAATTAAAGAAAAATCCATTTACAATCGATATCGAAAACCATTAAGTACCACAGTTACGTTTATTATTAATTAATGCGTATCATTTGCAATTTCTCTCGATCAATTTATATTATCGAAATCTGCATTTTAACATCGTAGCTATAAAAGAGAATGCCAACGATTCGCTCGATATTCCCTTCGTCGCTATTTCTTTTATATAAACTTCATAATTTTATGAAATTTTAGAGAACTTTAGAGAAGTTGAAGAATTTCTACCATTACGACGAACTATTTCTTAATCCTTTAGTAGGTTATTTTCCAACATCTCAAGTAAATAAAGTAGGAATAAGAAAGCTTATCCCCCGAGTTAATCAAACCAACTATCCCCGTCTGTCTCGCGACCGAAACATATTCGAGTATAAAATCACACGAGCAACGTTTGTCTTCGTTTCATACTTAGGTTTTACAATCCGGATTCCTTGCTTTCGCAACGTTTCTACGAGGGAAGCATTCCACGCGTTTTACAGCGGCTCGCGCGTTTATTGCGTTTTCTCGTCGCTTTTATTCGCCGTGAATATGATTGCACGACGCGATGGCCAAACTAAACTTTGTTGCGAGGACGTTATTGCGAGACCAACGATTAGATACTCAGTTCGTCTTTAACGCAATCTTTCCCTCGATCTCGGCGAATACCGTGTGTAATTTTCATAGCTGTTCCGACGCGATCACCGCCATGATTACGGTTACATCATCATAGGATCCCTTGGCCATTAAGCGGTCCCGCTATTCATTAATGTCTTTTAAATAAATTTATTGTACTATAAAACCGGTCAACCGCTTTCCACGCATAAATCTGTTCGTTCCGACGCAGTTTCCCAGAGTATACCGCCTCGAAACCTTTTATGTAACGCCGTCACGATGTTACCATGCGTTCTGCACTTTCGCATTCTTAGAAGTGAATGTTGCTTATGGTTTCGGCCATAGACAATGTTTCAGTGGTACGAGTCAGTTAAGAGCTTTTTTCTTGCGAGTTATGAAATTCGCAGAGGTTTAGAAAATAAGGAAGCGTTGCTGTACAATTGTGGGAAATTGTCGGAGATGTTTTATATTAATTATCGTAACGATTCAACCCTCCAATTTACATTGCTCGATACATGACGTAATATGGGAATTTGTTAATTTTTATTTCTTCTTCGTGCAAAGCGATAGATTTTAATCGTCTATTTTGAAACGTGTACGAGGTAAAATATTTCCTCTTATAGTTATTATAAATTGCAAGTTGCTTTGCTGTATTTGATCGATCAGTGCACTATAGTAAAATTTAATCAATTTTTATAATATAAAAATGAATGGAACGATACTAACAGCAGTGAAAAGTCATAATTTCAATATTATTGAGTATATAATCTATTTATGCAATACCCTTAAGAAAGTATTTGCCGATACTAGTATATACCAAATGTATATGAAAAATATTAATATTTTTATATACCAAATGTATATAAAAATTCAAATATTATACTTTGATCAAAGAAATGACACTACCATCGTTTTTATCATTAATACAATGATACGAAATTTGATGAAAAAGAAGTAATTTACGATAATACTAAGTTATAACATCCAAAAATATAACTAATTTGTAATGATGACGTATCTGAAGAAATATGACTAAAATGATAAATAGATATGATAAAATTGCGCAATTTTGCCTGAATGATATTGCTTAAAAATATTAAAATTTCATCGCCGAGAGGGTTAAATTAAATCGAACGACGATCCCGTCGCGCAAGAGCCACGGTATTCGACGAGTTATATAAAACAAGGGAAGTTCGGCGAGAGACAGGATAATCCTTGCAACCGGATTATTCGGGATTTTTCTTGACTGTAGGGTAAAAAGAGACGAAGAGGAGGGGAGTCGGTAGTTCCTCGGAGGAGGTTCCGTCTTCCTGCCAACCCCTGCTTGATATATTGCTCGCTCATACTCTCTTTCCCTTCTTTTATTCTTTTCTATCCTCCATTCGTTACATTATACGTCCAGCGTGTAGAACGACAGCTTCGAGGAGCACGCGCACTCCACTCTGTACGCTATCTACCCTGTTCACACCTGTGGAAAAAGGTTTCTTTTTGGTGAAATTGAAATATCGTAGTCTTTGGACGTAAAGATGTTCTAATCCAATCATATGTTTATATGCCAATATAATTGTTTCAATATATTGGTAATATTAATTGCAGTGATTTAGCGAGATATTTAATAGTAACGCGAAACGAAGAATAATTATAATATTTTATCAATGGTATATTACTTTAAGAGCCATTTATCTATTCCTATTTGTTTAAAGAACTTTTCTTATTTTTGTAATTCCTTACACATCATCAAGCCCATACTTATGAACCTAATTGGTATAAGATGGTAACAAAATAACGTTGAAGAAAACATTTCTAAGAATTATATCTTATAACCATAAGCGATGTTAAAACATTGGTTCTTTAAAGATATTTTATTTAATCTTCGTTAATGAAGTGTAAAATATACGTTGGTATCTAACAAGATTGCCACATATATCATCTTCGCGTAAAAAGCTATTAATCTGATCAATTGTTTATCAGCGATCCAACAAATTTCTATGTCTTATAAACTAACATTAACACTAGTATTTTTATAATATTTCTTAGAAATTCCATTATAAAACGTCTCTGTTATATTGCTTCTTTTTCTCCAATTTTCATATAAATGCTAAAAACTCTACAATATAATGTATAACGTATTAGATATATAATATATTATATAATAGATTTAAGAACGTTCGTGTCTTTTCATATTTGGCTAACAAACACTGCACGTGTTTTCTCAGTTCCACGTTCACATATATATATATATACAGTTTACCACAAGTATCTTCATCAAAGACACAGTTTCTTCCCGGAGATTTTACGTACACAACGACGAAGAGGGAGACTCCTCAGACGTATCCTCTCTCGGTTTATAATATCATACACCGTCTCCGAAATAATGCTTCCAGCAGCTCGCGCTCCCGGCGCTGTGACCTGCTCTCCTCGTCTTCCTCATCTATCAACAGTTTTCTTTTCCCTCCGCCCCTTCCGCAGCGGCGCGCGCTTTTCCGGCCAAGATTTATGAAATGGTACTTTGTACAGTTCCATTTTAGCGTACGCCTCGATTTACTCGCCCCAGGGTGAACTCGAGCGTCGTCTTATTCCGGAACTTTCTACGAGAACGTAGAACGACGTCATGCTTCTACAACGACGTTCAGAGATTGAAGATTTCACAGAGAATGTAGCTAGTGATGCTTGTTTTACCAAGTTGGTTAATGTAATTGCTATTCCGTGGGATTTAGACGATTTCCAATGCAATCAGATAATTGATTGAAATGTTGTGGATAGACTGCGAATGTTTGTTCATTTAGAAGAAATTTATGAACACCGAAGTTTCTAGAATATGCAACAATATACGAGTGGAAAAAATTCATTCTTTTTTTTATGATATTCACAAAAATTGATAGAATTATAATTGTCACTTTATCTTTGTTTTTAATTTTCTTCAATATTTACGAGAATTTATATATAATAGGATATTTCACGACTAATATGAAGTATATAAATAACTAGTATATGAATATACAAGTAAAAGGAAGATTATCAATGTTTTATGATTTAGTTTTACTAGTTTTACTAAATTAAATATTATCCTCTTTACTACTGATATTAACTGTAACCGCTGTATTAAAAATACGTCCCTTAAAAACATATGATTCTTCTGATTATTTAATAATAAAATTAATCTACAAATATAAAATAAACGAAATAAAATAAGTGCAAATGAGCATTTTTAGTTATGTTCTAAAGAACACATAACATCGTACTTAGTATGTAATTCTTACCTACGAATTCCTTAAAATTGCACAATGAAAGACAATGAAAAGCAAATTAGAACCCATGAAAGAACGAAAAAGAAGACAAACCAAAGCCGATATAAAGGATGCGTGCGCATAATATGCGTGGCACGCATGTCAGTGCAAGAGCGAATAGGGGTTGGTCGAGAAGAAAAAGGGATCTCACGTAAAACTTTTTCCGTACGTGTGGATACGTGGAACGGCTTTCAATTCGGCGAAGAGATTCACTCTGCACGGTGGCCTGTTAGACGCGATTTCAGCGCACCCTCTCGCCACACCCAGACCCACCCCCTTGAAAGTCGCATCCATCAAGGCGGAATCTCGATTTCCAAATCCACCCCGGTCGCGAATGCTTTGCCTTTCCGCTCTTGTTCAGCCGTTTCTTCTTCCTTCTTCAAGAATGCCACGGATCGCGTGACCTGCCGTCTAAA